TAGGAGATGAAAAAAGAGAGTGGGGGAAGCACGAGGTGAGGATTTTGAGGGAAGTGTAATTGAGTGGAATGCGGATTTTGAGGAGCGAAATGAGGAAGTGGGGTAGGAGAGCAAGTGATATTCTTTTCATGTTTGCTATATTTACTCTCAAACAGTAATTTTGGGAGTTGGATTACCGAAAATGTCCTTTTTGTTACCCTTGTGTTATTAAATATCTTTGTGTTATTAAATGCCCTTATGTAATTTGTGTTATTAAATGCCCTTGTGTTATTAAATGCCCTAAAATCCATCAACAGTCAAAGGCTGTTTGCCTTTTCAGAAATTCGAATTTTTTACTAATTTAAATTTCCAATACAATTTACACAAATTACATAAAATCGTTTTTTTCAAAAAAAAATTACACCACTCAGAATTTTTATAACAATTTTCATTTCCAATACAATTTTCATTTCCAATACAATTTACACAAATTACATAAAATCGTTTTTTTCAAAAATAAATTACACCACTCAGAATTTTTTACTAATTTGATTTGAGCACTCAGAATGTCAAAATTGATTTTTACCCCTTAGATTTTTACCTATAAAAAGGCCAACAGTTTAAGTTTTCCAAATCACAATCACAACTCAAACACTCACAACTCAAACACTTACAATTACAATCACAAACAATATGAATTCTGGAGATTACAACTCCATAAATCTTGATGAAGTTGAATTCGTCATCGACGAAACACAAAGTGATCCATTCCAGGATCATAGTTCATATGTAGAGTTTGAAGACATTTCAACCGATTTCGGTAATCCGGAAGGAGGTTTTGCTAGTAGAGAGGACATGGATGCTCATGTAAGATATGTTGCTGGCTTGAGGAACGTTACTTTGGCAATTCGTGATTCGAAGGGAAAAGACGGCCGACGGCCCAAAGTTCGATATTTATGTAGCCAAGGTGGCGGATACAGACAAAAAAAGGTTACTGGAACTAGGTCCACTAAAATGACAAAAAATAATTGTCCATTTTGGTTGGACGGAATGGAGTACCCTGGAGGGCGCTGGTACTTTGAAGTCCGGGAGGGGAGACACAATCATCCATTCCCGTCTCATGCTGTGGGATCTCGTTTAGGTAAAATATTCCCTATTCAACTTGAAGTTATTAGGGAGCAAGAGAATTTTAATTTAAGCCCGAGTAATATGTTGCGTCCATGAAAAGGGCTGATCCGGAGAACAAATCGTGTCAGAAACAAGTTTACAATGCTGTCAGTAAGGTGCGTGCCCAGAAAAGAGAAGGTCGGACCCCGATGAATAATTTCATCCATTTACTCAGACAATTGAACTACATGTACGACGTTCGGACTGCTGACGAATCTTCCGAACTTGGAGATATTGTTTTCTGCCACCCGGCTTCTTTTGTGATGGTGAATGTAGGCGTTAAAAAATGCTGAAAGATATCCAAATACAGCTCAGAAGGAGATCATCCAAAATGTCAAAAAGAACACAAGTATAGACTATCTCGCACGCGAAACAGTCTTTACTGTCTCGCACGCGAGACAGATTTGACTGTCTCGCCGTGCGAGACAGTCTTTACTGTCTCGCGGGCGAGACAGACTTTTACTGTCTCGCCCA